CCCCTCCCACGGCACCCCGAACCACGGCCCGCCACCCAAAGGGTGACAGTAACGCCTCCCCTCCAGCTCTGACCCCTGGGGGCTTCCCAGAGCCACAGGGGAGATCTTCTCCTTCCCACGTACCCGCCACCCAGGGCCCCAAACGCAAGTTTCCCCCCTTTTCTTTAGTCTCGGCTTTCCAAGCCAACCTGTGTGCCCGCCAAGGTCTGCCGTTGCTGCAGACACACAGCTCGACCCGTGTCCCCAGGGGCTGGGACCCAGCACAAATGCACACAGGGCCTGGCAACCGCGGTCGTCCGAGCTGGCTGCCGGAAGCCCTCGCTGACCTCCAGGGCCCTTGTGCCGTCACTGGGCACAGGCGGAGATGAGGTTCTCCGTGGAGTCTCTCCGACACAACGTGCCCCACTCACTCCCACCGCGCGGGCCTCCACACGCAGGACTCCATGCCTTCTTTAGCCCAGCGCGGAAAACTCCATTGGCTCCCCTAGCCGGCCTCAGGACAGGATCCCGAGGACCCCCAGCCCCACCCCGCGTGCGCGTCCTCGTCTTCCCCAAGGGATCACCCCCCCTCACACGGAAGGGCGGTGACAATGTCCACACTGTACTGAAAACAACAGTGAAGTCACAAGACAGCTACTAACGGACGGGGCAGCGGGGAGCCCCTGGTGACCCCAGCCTCCCCCACCCCGTGCAGCCCGCCCGCCTGCAACCTGCTCCGGGAAATCCCAGCCCGGCAGCTGTAGACGCCTCCTGGAGCCCGCACACGGGACCGAGCCGCGGGGACAGAGGCGCCCGCGTGGCCCCAGCTGCCAACCCGTCCTCAGCCCCGAGCACCCCTGCCCCTGCTCAGGTGCCCGTTACGAAGTGAAGCCGCAGGCAGGTGGGCACGTCGGGGACTCTGTAGGAGCCATAGAACACGCAAATGTGGCTTATAAAACATTCGGAGGCTGCGTGGAGGCTGCGATTAGGAAGCGTGGCCAGGCTACCCCCAAGCGACTTGTGTCATACGTGACCACACGTCTGCAGGCAGCGTTACGTGACGTGTAGAAACGACATGTCTATGTTCAGACACGGCACCTGAATTCCAACAGGCACTGACGGGATTAAATTACCCGGGGGCTCTGGCAGACGCGGTGTTCACCGCTCCAGCATCCGTAACCACGTCCAGGCCCCCAGACACCTGACACAGCCTTCCCGGCTCATCACAGAGACCACACGGCTCCTGAGGGCCCGTCCCCTTCAACCACAGGTCGTTAGTCATTTTAAGGCTGTAATTTGGATCTGAGGTTTTAAAATACACATCCCGGGCGCCAAGTGACTTGCTCTTCGATCCTTGGTGAGGGGAGGTGGTGTGGGAGGGTGGGGCCTCCTGACGGGCCACGGGAAAACCGAGCCACGGCTACCACGTCCTCCCGCGGTGCAGTCTGAAGCTGGGTCCCCTTGCCTCCTGCCCCCTGTAGCCCCTTCAGGTAGGCGGCCACTGGGGGGAGCCTCCCAACAGCACCCTCTGCCCCGTTCTCACCCCAAAGGCGGTCGCTGGCCACGTGCCGCAGGCGCCCCGGGCGAACACTGTCCCCCGCATGCCCCGCATCCCCGGGAGACCCGCCTCAGCACTACCGCGGGGCCGCTCACAGCTCTTGGCCAGCTTGCTTTCCTGTCTCCTCCTGGGCCCGGCGTGGCCTTTCTTCCTCGTCCCCGTGACAGAAGCCCCCCCCCCCACCCCAGGTGCCGACTGCACCCTCACCGTGTGCCGTCCTGCTTTGCGCACGCACACGCCCTCCTCCCCAAGAACACACAGCGGGGGCCGCGGTTAACGCTCAGACCCCGCCTGCGCTTCCCCCAGACCCGCCGCTCGCCACCCGGACAGCTACCCAGCCCGGCTCTGCCTGCGTCTCCACCACCGCACACCGGGTATCGGTACCTCCCTCCAGGGCAGGGGTAAGGCCTCAGCGGGACGACACCCACGAGCCACTCAGAACAGCATCTCATGCCGTTACCTGTGCAAAAAAATTATTCTGAAATAAGTTAAGGTGAAATTAGGGCTTCGTGAACGTGTCAGACTTAACATGTGCATAATTTTTCTCTTTCCCGAGACTCCACTAAAACGACAACGAAGGATTCAGAAAGGGCATAAACCCCCAACAACACACAAAACAGAGGAAGTGAAAATGCAGAAAGTGTCTCATTTTTAAAAAACGGAAGGTGGACCGAGGAGTCGGCAGAGTCGTGAAGAGTAACGTGAGGGCGCCCCGGGGCCAAGGAGCCCCAAAAGGTCCTGCAGACGGTGGGGCGGGCGCGGGGAGGCAACGCGTGCGGAAACAGTTCAGCCCAGGTGAGCCCTCCCCCAGGTGAGCCCTCCCCCAGGGCAGGTTCGGAGGCTTGTTCTCAGGATGCCCCAGCTCAGAGATTTGGGGGCACCGGCAGAGAGCAGGGAAAAGGCACCGTTACCCAAAGCGGGGACCTGACGGAAAGCGTGACTCTGGAGCAGCACCGCCGCCCGCTGCTCCCCCGCCTGTGCAAGAACGGCAGCTCCAGGCCGCGGGCTTCATCTCCACCCCGGAGCGAAATCGGAGGCTCTGCCCGGAGAGGAGCAGCAGACCTGCTCCATGTGTGGAGCCGGGGACCCCCTGCCTCGAGGAGGCGGCTGAGTTCTGGCCCGGCGGGTCCAGAAGGGACCAGGGGCACCTGTGCACACGCGGCCCCTGTGGGTGCGGGTCGTCATCACGGACGGTCATAAGCCTCCACTTCGAGAAACACTGGAGAAGAAACTACGACGGCATCATCCTCGAAGATACAAGACGAGAAATGCCGTTGGATAAAAAGGAAGGGCTCCTGGTAATTGAAACATGGCAGCTAAAACACCTTGACAAAAAAATATGGGAAAAAGTTGTGGAAATCTCTCAGGAAAGGAGACAGATGGAAGGAGGAGCAGGAACATTCCGGGGGAGTCTGGGAGGGCGAGCGTCCTGCAGACAGGAGCCCGGAAAGAAGGGAAGGACAGGAAGTCATCACGGCAGCGATACCGGCAAAGGCCGCGTGAGGGCGCCGTGCCGGGACCCCAGGGGCTGGGCGGGCCCTTGAGCAAAGGGGCCACGGGGCCACGGGGCCACGGGAAGCACAGCGTGGAACCCGCCGGCTGAGGTCTGTCTGCCACGGCCACCCTCACGCGGGGCATGTCCCCCACACTGCCGGCCACAGCCCCCAACCCTCCTGCGGGAGTCACGCTCCCTGGGGATGATCCGCGACCCAGTCCTTGGGACAGCGTCTGGCAGTGGCACCGGCGTCTGCTTGAGGCCAGTCCCAAAGATAAGCCCGCTGTCTGAGAGCGTGGGAGCCGTCGGCCCCGCCCTTCCCGCTGCAGCCCAGCCCCACCCACCACCACCCTTCCCAAGCAGCCCGGCTCCAGGGAACCGGCAGGACTTTAGGCTCCAGAAGCTTCCGGGTCCTTCTGAGCCTCAGCACACAGGCGAGGCCGCCCACCGGGTGCGGAACCGGGTGGGGTGCCGGCTGCCGCCTGGATTGAAAACCACATAAATCCTGCGTAGGAGCAGAGGCGGGAAAGCCCCCCGGCGCAGAGTAGGCCTTCAGGAGTTAGCGGGAAGGGGCTGGGACACTCGTTCATACCAAGGCCATAAGGTCCGCCCTGCTTTGCCCTCCGAGGAGCCCTCCTAGGAGGCGAGACCCACAGGGGTGAGCCGTGGGCCCGTCCGTCTGTCTGTCCAGGAGCCGCAGGAGCTCCTGCGGGAGAGCCCCGAGCGGGCAGGCCTGCGGCCGGACAGGTTCAACGCTGCCCAGCTCCCCTCGGGAACCTGCCCCCTTCAGGACAGGAGCCCGTGCTGCGGAGCCCTGGGAGGACCAGGCGAGCTCCGGCGCCCTCTCCTGACTTGGCGCGAACCAGCCGCCTGCTCTAAGGGAGGAATGACCGCGACTTTGGCTCCTGACATACACATTTGACCTGCTAAGTCCTCCTCGTGAGGCCGCGGGCCACCATCTCCTGCTGGGGAGGGGGGTGGGGGATTGGGCGCCGCCGTCCTCGTAAATGCAGGAGACCCTCCGGGCCTACGAGAACCAGGGCAGCACGCGCCTGCTGGCACCCTGACTCGGGGGTCGTCTGCCCCCCACTACCTCACGGAACCCTGAACGCAGAGCCAGATGCCCATCGGGTGCCCAGCAGGCCACAGGCGCGGCCGCAGTGAGCAGGCGGGATCTGGATTCGGCACCAGGAGCGTCGGCCTCCACGGAGGAGAAGCACAACGCCCCGGATGCAGGGAGACCAGGCGGCTGACCCCGCGGATCCCACACTCCAGGGCCACCCTGCGCAGGGGTGGGGGCTCCCCACCAGCCGCCCTCCACAGATCGCCCAGCACACAGCTGCTCGGCCTTCCGGAGCCACGGACGCGGGTCTCAGGTTGAAGTATGAAACCAAATGGCAGGAACATGGAGAAAAGTTGATTAGGTTTTTCTTAAGTGCAATTAACCGTAACTGCAAAAACAGTGCTTGTAATATACATGGACAGGCAGATATATGAAGTTTTCATAAGTGAATGAAAAATATAAAAATCACCAACAGAAAAACTGAAGAACAACATGAACCAACACCTCGAGCGGTTCAATGCAAATGGCCCATAAAAATACCGGGGTGTCCTCGCTTCCAGGTTGTTGAAAACCCCGCGCCCCCTGGTGACAGTACTCCTGTGCAGGCTGCTCCTCCTCCAGAAAGCCCGCCGGTACCTGCACACAGATGAACCCTCCCCTCTGCTCAGCGCCAAGCTCCCCAGGAACGCGAGCCTGACACGCTCCAACCCGAGCTCCCGAGTTCCCCGCCAGTGAGCACATTCAACACCAACCGGATCCCCTCGGGCGCTTTTTACAGCGAGTAATTACAGCTTCGTTTTCAGGATCATCAGGCCATTTGCCCCCCCCCTGTTTTTCAAGCACCAGATATGCAGCACGTCAGTTAAATAAATTCTGCGCTATGCATAATGCAGAGCACTACAAAGTGAGTTAAAATTATTTATAAGAGATAAATTTTTAAGAGACGACAAAAGACACCACGATTTACCGTTAAGCAACAAATGCAGGTCACAAAATCATGTATACAGTCCCGTTTGGGGGGGAAACGTGCACCTGTAGAAAAGACGCCCGCATCTCACTTTCAGCAGAGTTCATGTGACATTTACTTCCTTAGTTTTGTTCTCTAAATTACCTTTAAAGTCTCAACAACAAATACACACACACACACAACCCCTTCGCTATGGGGGAAAGATTAAAATCTCTAACCCAAGGGGTCCCTGGTGATCCCTGCACATTGTCTCTCGGACACTCCTTGTCCACCTGCCAGCTTTGATCCCTCGGCAGAAAGAAAAAGCCCAGCCCCCGGGATCTGTGCAGAACCCTCTCCACCCAGCCGCCTCCAGGCCCCAATGACCCATCTTCAGAAAAAAAAAAACTAAATAAGGGCACACTGCACTTGAAGAAAACCTCAGATTTCCACTAAGCAGCCAGACCCCCGCTGTGCAGACCTCGGCAGTCCCGTGACCTGACAGATGCTGCTGGTGGTCCAGGAGGAGTCGCACGCGCCCTCAGAGGCGGGGGGATGGCTTCCTTGTGTCCGTCTGGCCAGTTTTCCTGAGTTTCCAACGTTTAGTGCCATTCGCTGTGTTCAAGGCTGGGCATCTGGAGTCAGAAGCAAAGCCGGTTCCACAGAAACACCCACGAAGTCCCCCCCTGGACCGCCCCCCACCCCCCCTTTAACAAACTCCTCCCGGACTCACCTTCTCGTGCTCCCCCTGCGGCCACTGCCTCCTACTCAAGGAGAAAGGACGAGGCTGCCCCGGGAACCCGCTGTTCCCCCCACACGCTCGCAGCCCCCTCAGCCGCCGTCAGAGAAAGAGCTGTGTGCTAAGGTCTCGCCAGGAACGCCAACCACGCAGAGGGTCGCTGGAACCCCCCGTGACCACCAGTGAGCTAACACAGGCGCTGTGCCCTCGCCCGCACCCTTCCACCCCTGGGGAGGTCCACCAGCCCTCCCCCAGCACCCCTGCACCTCCCTGGCGCCTCACCGGCTTCTCCAAATGCCCCCGGGCACTGTGACCAGACTGAGGCACAGAGACGCTCAAGGACGTGCCCAAGGTCATGGGCTGTGCAGCTGGGATTCAAATGCAGGCCCCCGGCTCTCCCTGCGCCCCAGCCTCTGTCTGGGGAGCCCCTGGCGGACCCCCAGCCTGCAGGCTCCTCTCTGGACCACGAACGCTGATCTCAATGACTGCTTCCCAGAGGACGACTCTAAATCTGCCTCCAGAACCCCGACTGCACCTGCCATCCTGATGCCTGCGGGGCAACTCCACCTGCACATCAAACTCTAAGTGTTTTCAGACCAAAGTCATCTTCCCACAAGGAGCTCTTCCCCCTGACGTCTCCATGACGCTCACGGACTCCACGCTCCTCCCCGGCGTCTCCTTCCCCTCCGTTCTCTTGACCTCACCCTTCCCTACGTGTCCCCAGCCTTCCTCCCCCCCCCCCCATTCCCGCCCCCTCCCCTGGACCTTACTGCCCCCACATGGAGCACCTGCCCGGTCTCGCCGCGGCTGGACCCGTCCCTGGAGCGGCGCGTCCCGGCCTCAGGCCCAGGGCCAAGCTGGGCCACGCGCGAACCCCTAAAGCGTGGCCCAGACACACTGCTCCTTTCTTGGCCCCCAGGGGCTCCCCAGTGACCTCCTGGTGAGTTCCTGGGAAGGAAACAGTTTACAAGAGATTAGGAAATTATGCTTCCTGTTGGAAGAGGTTTTGCTCGAGGGGAAAGCGGGCAGGGCGCTGGGAGATCCATCCCAGTCTGACATCTGAGGCGCCAGGGCCGAGTGCCCCCAGCCTGCAGGCGGTGGGGCCAGGGCCTTGCATGGGACCCCAGCCCCGGTACTGCTGGTTTGCTTGTCTGAAAACAGGCACGAACAGGGGACCTAAGCCATACGGCTGGACGAGTTCATACGTGGAAAGAAAACACTCGGAACGTGAGAGGCACGAAGCACGTGGGTGAGGAACACCGGCCACCGTTACTGCCGTCATAGTCGTGTTATCATGACCACACGTCCGGCCTCGCTGACCGAGTGTCCCCACAACACAGTCTCAGTTCAGGCCAGAGTGAGTCCTCACTGGGCAGCAAGCGAGCCACACACCGGCCCATGGGCGGCCCTGCCCGTGTCCCTACACGTCACCCGATACAGACGCCTCCATCTTCAAACAAGTCTGAACCCGTGTCTCTGCGCCCAGACCCCGTGGCACTGCTTCTGCATCAGCTTTGCCGATCTCAGCACGGTGAGGCTCCATGAAGCCCCACGGTTTGTGCTCATGAGCGTGAAGTTCTCGGTGTGACAAGTCCTGGGCAATGCCTGCTCCCGGCTCAGGAACCAGCGCACACGGCACGGCGTTCACGGGAGCCAGGGCTTCCGCAGCACGCGGGGCCTCTGTTCCCAAGGGACACATCGCCCCGTGTGCTCTGGAAAGACAACAGCCGGGCCAGCCGTATTCCTCAGAGAGGGACCCGTCACACCAACCTCGGGCGGTGCACGCACTGGGCAGCTGACCGCCGGTGCCGCCTGTCCAAGCTGCAGGGGGCTGGGCCCCCAGGTCCCGGGAGAGGGGACGCATCACATGAGGAGACAGAGACACAGACAGACATCTCCCAGGAGGCAAAGTCTAGCAGCCGCATAGCGAAGTCTGCAGACCGTCCCCCGTGGCTGTAAATGTGTTTCAGGGAAATACAGAGAAGGATGTGATAGCTCGTGAGCATGTGACACTTATCACCCAGGACACGGGGGGCAGGGCGGGAAGCACCTGTTCAAGAAGGCCTGAAGCGGGTCTGTGGAGGAGGCTCACAAGGACTAATGGAAGCAAGGACCCCTTGTGTTCACCGAGCCATGATCTGGGCCAGACCTTGCTGTGTGTGTGTTTCCTCCTATTATCTCATTTAACCCAAAAGACGCCTGAAAGGCGGGCACTGCTGTTACAACCCCAGCTGTCTGCAGGGGTGCGAGTGACATCAGAGAGAGGAAACTGGGGCCCCTGGCCGGCTCTGCCGCTCACCAGCTGTGAGAGCCCCGGGCCCGTTTCTGCACGAGGAATGACCGCCACCTCCAAGGTCCCTCCAGCACGGACGCGGGCCGACCACAGATCTGCACGACAGGGACACTGATCGTGTTTCCAGTATTCATCACGGAAGACACTGTTTCTCACATGCAACGAAAGCATCGGTTTGTAACACAGGAAACGGTACCATAATGACGGTTACGAAGCCTGTAATGCCTCGGTTTGTCGTAACGACAGAGACACTGAGACAGAGGCATCGCTTCTGCAGGTTTATCGGAGCATTTCTCATTCTGTCTGCATTTTCAGGGGAAAAAATAAAGACGCGTATCTTTTCCACACACAATTTTCCACAACGGCAGAGCTTCTGGGTCCCGCCCGTCATTCGTGTGAGCGGCGCACACACGAGTCTTCACGCACGCGTGGCGGCGGGTGGGGCACTCACAGACCGTGGGAAGCCGGTCCTCGGGCTGGAAGCTGAGGGCTCCCAGGAGGCAGTGAGCAGACAGGGTGACCGTGGGGAGCCCGGCCACCGCCCGCCTGGATGAGGCCGCCGAGGACCCGGGGCCCCACAGCCACACCAGGCACGCAGATGAGTTGGACACTTAGAACGTCAGAAGGACAGGAAAAAGGAACGGAGCAAATGTTTGGGGGAGAAGAAACCCAGAAAAGATAAATGCGAATGACTAAACCTGCGATCAGAGCTACCCTCCCGTTACTGTAGACATCAGCCGCCACGTCTCCGCAGGCCGGCTCCAGGCAGTAATTCGGTATTTACCTGACCTAACCCAGACGCGGCCCACGGGGTGGCCTGGGAGCCACGAGCGATTGATTTTGGAGTGGCCAGCGGCTGTAATCGAGTCACAGGAGTGTCTAGCAGCCGGCTGATCAGGTTAGAGCAAACACCGTGGCCTATGATTCGGGGAACTCCGCACATTTGAACTTTCAGACGATCCCGGGGCCCCGGTGTCTGCACGTTAGTCTGCGTAGCTTGACCTCAGCCAACGCCTGGTGACTGACTCCGACTGGAGAGAACACACGAGTAGGAAAGCAATGGTTTGCTGACCCCCATCTCTCTCTCTTTCTCTCTCTCTCTCTCTCTCTCTCTCTCACACACACACACACACACACACACTCAAGCGCACACACACACAGGCACAAACGTGTACACACCCAAGCGTGTGCGCACACGGGCAAGGCCACGTGGCCATGCCAGTGTTCGTGCTGCTGCTGCGTCCGTCTTGCTGCCACCCTTCCTCAGAACTCGGCTCTGGTATCACCTCCTCCTGGAAGCCTGCCTGGTCTCCCCCGGCTGGGATAAGAACTCTGCGTCCTCACGGTATCTTTTTGTCAGAATTCACATTGGTCTTCCTTGGGTATCCGCTGAGGACTGACCGGTGTCCCCCCCCCCCCAATTCACATGCTGAAGCCGAAAGCCCCAGTGTGAGTGGGGAGGTCGAAGGGTGGGGCCCTGAGCCCGTATGACGGGTGTCCCGATGAGAAGAGACACTGAGGGCCCCTCTCCCTGCCTCTCCTTCCACGCCCGTGCACACCAGGGAAAGGCCTCGCGAGGCCCTGGCAAGCAGGCACCGGGGAGCCCGACGCACAGCCCCCAGAACTTGCCGTGGCCGCCCGGGGTGGCCTGTGACAGAGCCCACACGTGGGTGCCACGTCCTCGCTCCCATTTCCGGTCTGAGCTCCTGGAGCAGGGCTCGCACACAGCAAGCGCTTAATAAGTTCCTACTGAGTAAATGTGACGGGGTGGGGGGGAGGGGGAGGACAGAGGCTGGAGCTCAAAGCCCTGCTTGAACCCGTCAGGCCAGAGTGAGGGAACCTCGGGCCCTCGCGGCCGTCGCTCGCCGAGGGCAGGACAGGGTTCAGGGTGTCCTTCCGGCCAGTGACCCAGGTGTCAAAAGCAAAAGGGAAGAGGGTCAGAAGTAACAAGATGCTCAATTCAATAACACCCCAGCTGCAGAGCCCACCAGCCTGCCGGCCAAGCCGAGGGGCCAGGCCGGGCTGGCTACGTCCATCTGTGCTTCTGGAGATCTGGATGGAGTGCAAGCCTGGAGCCCAGCCTGGAGCCCAGCCTGGAGGAGGAGCCAGCCGTCCACCATGGAGGCCCGACTGCTCAGGAGACCGATTATGAAGCATCTAGATGGCGGTCAGGTAAAGAGTCGGCGGGGCCCCTGCCTTCTGACAGTGAAGACAAGTAACGATGGAGATGGCCCCGCCAGACATGCCCCTGTGACGGCTGTTCAAGCCTCATGGCACCCCACCCCCATCACACAGACGTGGACGCCGAGGCACAGACACATCAAGTCGTTCCCCCGACATCTGAAGACAGCGGCAGGTCTGGGATTCGCTTTGTTCTCTTAGTGACGACGGCACAAGCCACACAGGGGTCTTGACCTCGTCTCCCTCGTCTGCAGACAGGGGTCCCAGCTGCGGGGAGGGCGTGAGCGAGCCCAGCACATAAAGCAGGTGCAGTCAAGTAGAGCGGGTGAGGCCCGGGCGACTTGCCCAGGGGGCCCCGAGGCCGCACACCATCCAGCAGACCCCGCGGGGGAGCCAGGGGCTCTGTGTAATGTCCCGGACCAGGCGGCCTCCGTGGCGCCCGGCTCAGGCCAGGATTCTGGTGCTCCCAGGGCTCTGAGGACACGGCGACTTCTTGGACGGGGGCGGGGGTGGGGGGGGGTGGGGAGGGGAAGGGCTGGGGCCGTCCAAGAGGTCACGGGAGGGGTGGGGCGAGGGGTGAGCCGTCTCTGAAGGGACAGGAAGACTGTTGCCCAGGTAGGAAAGGGACGGAGGGCCGTCCAGGCCCGAGGGAGTTGCTGGCAGCTCAGGGCGGCATGAACAAGTAGATTTCTCAGGCCTCATCCGGGTCTTGCTCCTTGCCTTCCCGGGCCAAGGGGGCACCCCT